AGGATTGACAGGATAAAAATTGTTTGTTTATTTGGATTTTAGTAAGCCTTGACAGGTCCCACAAAGACCAAAAAAAAAAAAAGGGCAGCTCAGGGTTGGGGAAAAAGTTCTGTGGTTTGGGGCTGGTTTCCCAAAGAAAGAGAGGTTACCATTAATGGAGTGAAATCGAATGGGGATTAGTCACTAGTGCGTTCCACAAGGATCAGTTTTGGCCCTCTCTTGTTCATAATTTACATTAATGACCTTGATGAAGGGAAATTATTTAGTGACATGAGTAAGTTTGCTGATGATACAAAGATAGGCCGTATAATTTCACTCTGAGGAGGATATCAATGAACTCCAGGACGATTTGAACAAATAATGTCCTTGGGGTCTAGAAATGGCAGATGAAGTTAATGTGGATAAAGTGTAAGGTATTGCCTTGGTATGAAAATAACCCTCGACTATAATCTAGGTGAAGTAGAGCTTGGTCATACAGAATGTGAAAAAGACTGGGAGTCATGGTAAGCAGAAATCTAAAGCCAAGACAGCAGTGCCCAGTGTGCGCAAAAAGGGCCCAACAGATTACTTGGATTTATCTCAAGAAGTATAAGTAACAGAAGTCCAAAAGTTATTTACAGCTCTATACATCATAGTGAGGCCTCATTTAGATTATGCTGCTCAGTTTGGTCCCCTTACTACGGATGGACATAGACTCATTAGAGAACTACGGGAGAAGAATGACTAAAAATGAATTACTGTGTAAGGAACCTCCCTTTATGAAGATAGACTTAAGCCTTTAAAATTCCACTCTCTGGAGAGGCGTAGAATGAGGGGAGATATCATTGAAGTGTATAAGTGGATAAAGGGCATAAACAAGGGAGACATTAAAAAAGTACTGGGGGTTTTTCGAACGGGTAAGAACCAGGAAAAATGGATTTAAGTTGGATAAATTTAGATTTGAAAGGACATAGGAAAGTACTGGTTTTCTAACAGAGTTGTAGATGGTGGAAAAGTCTTCCCAGTGGGGGGATTAGAGGCTAGGAAACCCTTGGGTGCTTTAAAAGAGACTGGACAATATATGAGTGGAAGGGTGGGTTTGATTGGGTTGGGGGTGCGGGAGTTTGTTTCTTGAGTAGTTTAGGGAGAGATCGTTTTGATAAGGACCGCCTGTATGGGCCAGTAGGCCTTCTGCAGTGTTTCCACATTCTTATGTTTTATGTTTTTTTTCATGTGTTTTATCCATCACTCTTGTAGTAAGTTACTACAAGAGTGATGGACTGAACACATCGAATCCAGGTTGAGGGACTGATTACCTCATACTTCTACTCTCCTTACCCATTTCTACTTTGAACATCAAAATGGTATACAATACCGACAGGTTGGTAGGTAAGACACATAGGCAACAGTTGCCTAACTGTTGCCTATGTGTCTTACCTACCATTTCTACTTTGTATTGGACTGATGAAGCCACTGTGTGGCGAAACGTTTCTTCAATAAAGATTCCCATGTGTTGCATAAGTGTCTCAATTCTTCAGAGTTGTAGATGCGTGGAACAGTCTTCCCAGTGGGGTGATAGAGGCTAGAACCTTGGGTAGCTTTAAGAAGAGACTGGACAAATATATGAGTGGGAGGGGCTGGGTTTGATTGGTGTTAAGGGGTACGGGAGTTATTTCTTGAGTAGCTTTAGGTAGATGTCGTTTTGATAAGGACCTGCCTCGTATGGGCCAGTAGGCCTTCTGCAGTGTTCCTACTTTCTTATGTTCTTATGTTCTTAACAGTCTTTTGTGCGGAACTCTATCAAAAGCCTTACTAAAATCTAAGTAAATAATATCAAATTCTTTATCGTGGTCAACAGCCTCAAAAGCTTTACTGAAGAAAGTTAATAAATTAGTTAGACAAGACCGGCCTCTTGTGGGATGGATTGTAAAGGACCTGCCAAGTATGGGCCAACAGGCCTGCTGCAGTGTTCCTCCTTTCTTATGTTCTTATATGTTACGTATGTGTCTCAATGTTCAACTTGTCGGTTTTCAAAACCATTTAGCACATAGCAAGGTTTATACTGCACGGTATAAGATAGACTGAGCAAATGCAAAGCTTATTGTTAGGTTAGAACTAAAGTGGGTTGGATGTGTGAAGGACCTGCCCAGTATGGACCAACAGGCCTATGTATGTTAGGTAAGACACATATGCAACAGTTAGACAACTTTATTCCGAAACGTTTCGCCTACACAGTAGGCTTCTTCAGTCGAATACAGAAAGTAGGCAGGAACAGTAGAGATGTGAAGACGATGTAATCAGTCCATCACCCTTAAAGTCGTAGAATTTGAGGTTGTCAGTCCCTCGGCCTGGAGAAGTTCAGTTCCATAGTCAGTTCCTGACTATGGAACTGAACTTCTCCAGGCCGAGGGACTGACAACCTCAAATTCTACGACTTTAAGGGTGATGGACTGATTACATCGTCTTCACATCTCTACTGTTCCTGCCTACTTTCTGTATTCGACTGAAGAAGCCTACTGTGTAGGCGAAACGTTTCGGAATAAAGTTGTCTAACTGTTGCATATGTGTCTTACCTAACAACCTGTCGGTATTGTATACCATTTTGATGTTCAGGCCTATGTATGTATATACTCCTTTATGTTCTTATGGGTGAGATGGACCAACAGGCTTATAACCTGACCTTACCTGACGTTCATGTGCAATAATAGCATATAAGAGGCTGTGACCTGGGATCAAGTTCACTACGTTGTACACAAAGGTCTTGTCTTTTTGAAGGTTGCTTGTCTCTTTATTAAATAATGTCAGGCATATATGGTCTCTGCGTGATCGCAGTATGCATTGTATTGCTACTCATCGCCGGTCTTATGACCTGGTTCAAGAACCCCAGCAGCAAGGTGAGTCTTCCTCAACTCCCGTTCTTTGAAGTGCATTTAATTGTATTCGTGAAGATTAACAGTAATTGGTAGTTAAATTGGATAATATAATATAATATAATATAATATAATATAATATAATATAATATAATATAATATAATATGCAATGTTGATAATGGTATAAAATACCAGGTTGATGTGCCTACTGACAAATTAATAAATTATATCATTGGTCTTTCAGGAAGACATATCAGAGGCTTCTGTAGAACCTTACTTCCTGCCGTCCTTCTTGCGTAGATCTGGTCCCTCATTCGCCTCCTTCATGGATCTAAAAAGAAAGAGGAACATCCCGGCAGATCCAGCGAGTTCTTCTAATGACCTCGTCACCGTGCACTCTACAGGGAGGTTTGTGCAACAGGTCGCTGGAACACAAGTGATGGCCGCTAACTTAGCCCTGGCAGCTACCCTCGCTCATGTCATGATCTACGGCAGGTTATCTGGGGAAATGAGGAACCCTTGTGAACCTGTTTACCGCCCTTATCGCCCTAGGAGCCACGCACGACGCGTCCTCAGTCCCAGGATACCTCGACAGAACAGCCTAATAGTACCACCAGCTCCAGTCTTGGCGATACCATCATCCACACAGTCCTCTTCCGTACAAGATGAAGTCTCTCTGAGGTCGTAATTAGACACGTTGCACCCTTCATATATATATTACTGTTGTTAATCCAAGAAAGGAACATTTATGTAAACTTCATTTTGATATGCACTATACAGGTGATATTTAAGATGTAAATACAAATTATTTATGCTGAATAAATTTCTAATGACAATGAAGTGTTTGTTGTTTATCTCCCTCATTATATTCTAGGAGAGGCAGCGAGCATACGAGTCACACTTATTGCCATTGAATTGTCCTAGGATAAATTTATATAATGGGCTTTGCATGCCCTTAACACGTGTCTGCATGATCGTCAGCTATCAGTGCTTGCTTCTTTAGTTTCACTCCCTCTTAGCCTCGTGGGCCCCATCATACATGCTCTCAGAATTATGTATAGAGTCCACCACTTCCTCTTAACATTCCTGTGGCGCATCTGTGATGATGAAAAAGGTTGTTATCAGATCTATCTGGAGTTCATTACCTTTGTAACTTGCTCAGGTATCAGAACTTTGGGGCCCAGTCCCTAGACCCATTATGTACCTCTGTAATATTTTGACAACCGCCCACAGCTATGGGGTGCATAATAAACATATTAAACTAACTGAAAAAGAATGACCATAATAATAATCTGTGAGTTTAAACCAAGAGCCCTTTTCCTGTACATTTTTCCCCTCCTACATTCCCAGGAGAAAGATAACAGTAACCTGAGTCCATATCTGTATTCACTTACCTAAAATTAATTAAAGTATGACTAATTTTATTGGCGAAGTATTCTGGTTGTCTAGCAGTGTTGTGGATGCCAGGATGCTGCTTTGTTATCTTTACCTTGAGATCTTATCAGTCTCAAGAGTCCTCAGATACCTGTGATTGTTAATCGCTCTGGTAACAGTTAGGTATAGTCAGTTGTGACTATCCCTCTACTGACACTGGTATTGTCAGCGGTTATTGTTCAAATTCAAAAATCATTTCTTTGCATAGTATACGGTGTGTAGTTTATATGTAGTAAAATATTACCAAGCACAAAGAAAGCCACTAACATGTGTGAGCATTTCTACTGGCACGTACTCTGACTGACACTCTGATATTGTCAGTGTTGGTCTTGTATCCCTTTGCTGGATCTGATATTGTGCGTGTCCCATGTATAAACCTAAGTAAGTAAATTTACTTACAGAATTTTTTACCTTTGTAACTTGTGAGTTCATTGCCTTTGTACCTAGTTCAGCTATCAAAACTTTGGGGGCCCAGTCCCTGGACCCATTATGTATCTCTGTAATCTAAATACCTTTGTAACTTGTCATGATTTTGACCAGATCTACCTGGAGTTCATTACCTTTGTAACTTGTTCAGCTATCAAAACTTTGGGGTCCAGTCCCTGGACCCATTATGTACTTCTGTAATCTTTTGACTACCGCCTACAGGATGGGTATGGGGTGCATAATAAACATATTAAACTAACTCCCACTATTGACACCGCTATTGTGTGTCCTATTACTAAGACTGGTGTTGTCAACCCAGGACACAGATGAACCATGTGTGGAAGTGTTGCTTCAGTTCTGACCTGTTGTTGGTCACTCTACCAACAACAATAATTACTGACCTGACCGAAGTATGTAAAAGGGACGGTAAGAAGCTTTAAGATTTATATCTGATGACTCACGAAGTTTAAAGTTCGTAATGAAGTTATGGCGGTCATCTGTCACCAGCTATTCAGTGGGATACTACACGTTATTTATATATGTATGTATTTATTTTATTTATAAGGAAGCGCTAAATCCGTAGAGATTGTGTTGAACATCAGGAGGTTGGGATGGCAGGCCGAGCATCCAGGGGCAGAGCTAGGGGCCGCTATCATCAACAAGATCAAGAAAATAATTTATGCAGACCTGGCCAGGTAAACCTGCTGAAATTTGCAATATCTCTCGTCCTGTAAATTAATGTGTGTGTTTATTTTAACTGGGGAAAGTCAGAAGGCACCGCGCCTCGGTTAGAATCACGGAAAAATATTTGAATTATTGCAAGGTTTCATTTCTTTTCCTTAATTTGTCATCGAGTTTTACATACACTGTAGACAAACTGGTTCTGAAAACCCACAGGTTCACGAATTAGACACACTTGGGTATCTTTATGTGATAATGTTGTGATCTTCAACCATTCTTACGTTCCTATCTTCAACAGTTCTTACGTTCCGATCTTCAACCATTCTTACGTTCCTATCTTCAACCATTCCTACGTTCCTATCTTTAACCATTCTTAGGTTCCGATCTTCAACCATTCTTCCCTGTATTGGACTGAGGAAGCCACTGGATGGTGAAATGTTTCCACACTAAAGATACCCAATTGGTGTATGTATGTATAATGTTCGCCAGGACCAGTGTCCTGGCACGGGTCTTAATCTTGAGATGACCCGTCTCTGGCTCCTGAAGGAGAATTGATTCTTCACTGTTGCAGCATATAAGCGTTTGGAATTTCACTATTCTTTCAAGCACAGTTCCGGACAGTTCAGCTAGTGTGCCTCATAAGCGACTGAAGTTACTCCATCTCAGCTGTTTCCTGAGCTGGGGACTGGGCTCTGTCCTCTCTGATAATCTGCGGATTCATGGCATCCACTGCTTCCTGCTCTGTCAGTAAGCACACCCTCAGGAGTGTGCTGACCATCTGCCGGAACATGCTCTGTTGTTCCGTGGAGGTGATTGTGTTGCAGAAAATATCCGTGAATGCCTTGATGAGTGTTAAGAGATCCTCTCTGTTGAGGGCCTGCGTTGTCGGTGGGTTCGAAGCAGTGGACATTATCTGGGCTGTCGTAATCTGTGGGGACTGCTGAGGGTTGTATTTCTTCACTGTGCACACCGTGGGCTGTTGCTGTATGCCAGGTTGTGTACCCGGCATCTGCTGGTGAGGTGCAGCCACAGCCTGCATAGTGGTTGTGCCTGGCAAGGAGGCCGGTGGGGGTTCGTGTAGTGCCGTCTGCTGATTGCGTTGCCCAGATGTTTCCTGTTGGCGCCGCTTGTTCCTCATGTTTTTGTTTCTTCGTTGCGGTAGTGGGGGAGGATGCTCCTGTTCATGACGCCTGGTTGAGTTTTCAAGGGTCGGAAATTCCTGGGCACTGAGTTGGGTTGACTGATGAGAGTTCTGCAGTATGGCAGGATTCTCTGCACCCATCGTCTGCTGAGGGTGATGCTCTGCCGTAGCCTGCTGTCTCGTCGTTGGTGTCTTCCAGGCCTTACGAATTCTAGTGAGCCTCTCAGGGCATCGAGGGTTCCAGGCATGGTGTTTCTGCCTGCAATTCGGGCATCGTGGAGTGGGTGGCGATGCATTCTTCAGCTTGGTGATGCATTCCTCGGTAGGGTGGTGCTGGCTGCAGACACCGCAGATTACTCTGTTCAGACAGAGTGCACCCAGGTGTCCGTAACGCTGGCACTTGAAACAGCGAACTGGTTCTGCCGTGAAGGTCCTAACATCGTACCTGCCCCAAGAACCGAGGTCCAGCTGGGATGGCAGCGGTCCTACATGCTGAATGAGAACCTGCCGGGTTGGTGCATTGCCTGCCGATTTTGCCTTGAGACGCTGAGCTGACACGACACTGGGGTGAGCTGCTACTGCCTCGATGGGCATCATCAGCGGGTATCGCATCACTACACCCTTGGTGACCTGCCGAGAATCCAGTTCCTCCAGGGTGAAGGAGCGGTCTGTCTCCATGACTTTCTTCAATGTGATATGCATTTCCCTGTTGATAGGAGTCAGTATTGGTTCTCCCCTCAGGTTGAACCATATCTTGAACCTCAGTTTGTGCCGTGTTTCCAGGTGTGTAACCACGCCATAGTGGGTTTTGTGTTCCCCATAAGCCTTTACCTTGAATCTGGAAGGTGATTTGAGCTGGTTTACCTGCTCCTTGGAGGGACGGCGTGTCTTACTGTTCACATTGATCCATCCTTCCGTATTCTCTGGCTGCATGGTTAGGCTTGTCAGAACTGGAGACTTTTCCTCTGATGACACGGAGTGGTCTCGCAACTTCTTCGCTAGGATTGCGCCCCACATTTCTAAATCCGAGTCGTCCATTTCTAAATCCGAGTCATCCGTCGTGTCCCTGGAACATCGTGACCTCTTCCTTTCGGCAGAAGCCATGTGTCTGTCCACGTGGTGCTGGACTGTGCATATCTAGTTTATATACAATATAAACACCTCACAATGTCCTGACACGGCTGACCGTCAGCCCGCATTTTTATCATGAAATCAAAAATTCTGCTGTACACGTTACCTGGAATACTGAATAATAACTTAACTATTATTAAGGGTCATCACAACATTAAGAGAATATTATTAAAGTCAGTTTTATGTTACATCACAGGATGACCTTGAAGGTCAGATGCAGAGGCTACATCTGCAGAGTGACGTAACACGTAGAGGAAGAGGCGGTAATGAAAGAGGAAGAAGAAATGGTGGTGAAAGAGCAGCGGGAGGTAGAGGTCGAGGAGGAGGTCGAGGACGAGGTGGTGGCCACGGGGAGAGCTTCAACCTGCTACAGAAGATGAGTGAAACAAGAGAGTGTGTGGTGTGGACTCGACCTCAGCACGTCACTGACAAAAGAGGTCTGTCGTTATCATTGGGAAGCGCTAAGCTCGTAGGGATCATATAGCACCTGTGGAATATGAGATAATTAGATTTAATCCAAGGAAGGGGAGGGTGCCTTCAGTTCGGTATATCAAGAGCCTTCAGGTCAGTGTGCTAGGAAGGGTTCAGATTCAAGAAAGGAACAGACAGTATTCACTCCTTGTTTATGGAGCAACGTGCAATGTGAACAGACTGACTGATGTTGTAGTGGCCAGGCTTAGGCTTGGTTACAAGTACTGACTGATGTTGTAGTGGCCAGGCTTAGGCTTGGTTACAAGTACTTCTGGCAGTTTGGGAGACACACAGATGATGATCAAACTAAATGTAAATTATGTGATCAGGCATATGGTCACTGTCTTGAACACTATGTGCTTAATTGTCCACTTATTGAGGAATACAGAGACAGTGTAATAACCTATGTGACATGTCAAGATAAGATTCCAGATATACTAAGCAAATTTCCTAAATTTGCTTGTAACAGATAAGTGAACTGTAGGTGTGTAGATATAAATCCATATGTATTCCTGTTAACCCTTTGGGGCCTAGTTCCTGCGCCTTTTGTGTATCCATATGCTCTTGCGCTACCGTCCACAGGATGGATATGGGGTGCACAATAAACTAGCAACTTCGGTGGCAAAATCTAAATATCTAATCATTCCTTAAAAATGTTTTACTAAGAAGTGTGTGCTTACCTAGTTGTGAAGAAGTCAGTGAAAAGGCCCCGCCTCTTCACTGGCCGATACTAGGTCACTCTTCTTGCTCCATGAACTTTATCATACCTGTGTGTGTCTGTGTCCTAGACAGAGACATACACAGAAACTCACTATGACTACAGCTCCGTCAATAAAACTTAATTATTAATTGCACACATACTTAAATGCTGGTAAATCTTACTCAGAGGAAGATAATGATTTGTTTTGGTCTGATTTGGTCTTAATTTGACTTTTTTTTTTTATGGAAGACACTTTAAAACCTGAACTAGTGATATGATCCCTTACAGGCACCTCGGGTCAACCTATCATGCTGAGAACCAACTATTATGAGGTGAAGGCCACGCTTGACTGGGTGTTATGTATGTATCACGTCACCTTCACTCCCCCGGAGGGCAGGACCAAGGTGAAGAAGGTGCTGCTCAGACAACACAGTCATGCTCTGGGTAACTACATCTTTGACGGCAACCAGCTCTACCTCGGTCACAAACTACAACACAATGTGAGTACTTCAAATTCAAATACTTTATTTATTTTATGCAGTATACAATTAATGTAGTTTACATTTAATTAAAAATTGTTAGGCACAAAAGGGCAGGAGATATTTTCCTAATTTATATCCCCCCTTATCTTTCCTTCTCTGATTTTCCCCTTCTCACTTTCCTTCATCGTGTCTCAAGATCTCATTGTCTCTTCCCTTCAAGGGAAGAGATGCTGGTCAAGGCTCTTTATCCAAATAACTGCAGCTTCTCAGTTCACTCTCTACCAAGCCTAACAGTGGAAGTAGAGGTTATATCTCAGCACGATGGAGGTTACGTTCTCTGTCCACTAATTGCTAGAGACAGAATATGTAGTAAGTTTATTTAGGCACAGGTATACATAAGTACAATTATCATACATCGTGTAAATTACCTAGGATAACCCAAAAAAGTCAAAGTGACTTATTTCCATTGGGGTCCTATACTCAAAGATTTCTTACTCAACAGCCTCTGGAGTTGGCGTCGAAGCGGCCAGACAATCAGGAGACCTACACGGTCAAGATCCGTTTTGTGAAGGAGGTTCCCCCGTCAGATACACAGTTCCTGCAGGTGCGTGTGTGATATGAGGGTATTCTGTGTTCTTATTCTTCAATCAGGTGCTGATCAGACATATTACAAATTATACTAAGGTTGAAGCATCAGAGCATGATGACCGAGACCTCTCCCGGAGACACCGGACCTAACCCAACAGCACCTTACCTTCCCATATGCTTCACAAACCACTGTTTTGATGTACTCCATGTTCTTAATAAAGCATCTAGTGAGTGAAGTCTTGTTGGTATGTTTCAGATATTTTCCATCTTGCTGCGTCGATGTTACGAATACCTGGGACTGACTCAAGTGGGTCGTCACTACTACAACAGCAGGGAGGAGGTACAGAACCAGAAGTACAGGTGAGTGTGTCCTCACACCTGTTTGTGGAAGCTTCTTACTCAGGTCACTAGCTCTAACATGGGTGTCAGCGTCGCTGATCTCGTGGGCCATAAAAATAGTGGTCTTGTAGCAATCTCGATATAGTGTTGGCTCTGTTGGGTAATATTTTTGCTCTCCAATGAGAAGGGTGACAACGGGAATCGAAGCCCTTTGGCCCGTTATGTACCTCTGTAATCTTTTGACTACCGCCCGCAGGATGGGTATAGGGGTGCATAAAAAAGATATTAAACTAAGAATATAAGAATGAAGGAACACTGCAGCAAGCCTACTGGCCCATGCGAGGCAGGTCGAAGTCACATTCCAGCTTATGCTACCGACCCAACCTAGTCAGGTCCAGGTCACATCCACTTAACCTAACTATAGGAGCTATAGATTTGCCAGAGAATTTTGTTTATTTTACCCCTCTTTTCCTCGCTTTATCTCCCTGTCTCTCACTCATCCTCTCTGTCCTCCCTCTCTCCCACAGGGTAGCCATCTGGCCTGGATACGTCTCTAGCATAAGACAACACGAGACGAAGATTATGATGATGACAGATATACTTCATAAGTTCCTCAGACTTGATACCGTCTACGACATTCTCAGGAAGATCAAGAACACCCAACCAGACAGTTTTGTGAGTGTAGTTCAGACTGGGGCAGTGACTGGGGCAGTGACTGGGACAGTAACCAGGGTAGTAACGGGCAGATGATAGAACACAGCACAACGTGTCATCGATATATTAAAAGTTTCCCTAACAAAAGTAATTTATGTTAGTGTGGTGCTAAAGGAATGCTTTGATTATTAAATGTTCACTGAAATTACTAAATTTCCAGAACTCAAAAGAGTCAGAAATTATGTTATCTACTTTCCACAATTTTTTTTCGTTATTTTCCTTTTCTGTACTTGGCAGAGCATACCTGTCAGGAACATTGGTCAGTAGTTTTTAACATCTTACCTGCAGCCCTTCTTATATACCACCTCCCTGCAGTCTGTTACTTTCTGTTTCTGGTGACTTGAAGATGTAAGGAAGCTTCATAGAGGGCTTCGGATCCTCTTGACATACCAGACGGGAGAATATTTATGACTCTCCCTAGATCAACTCAGTATCTGAGGCCACTGTTAAATAATAATTTTTGGCTTTTATAGCTTAATATTAGTTTCTCCTGCTAGTAAAACTGGTGAAGGGTTATTGATCTGTCCTTCCATTCCTCGGATAAAACCCGATTACCTCCTCCCCCCCCCAAAAAAAAAAAAAAAAAATCCTACTAACACTGGTGGTGGTGGTGTGTGCAGAAGTTCGTGGCAGGGAAGCAGCTGCTGGGGATGGTTGTTATGACGCGTTACAACCAGAGGACTTACAGGATCGACGACATTGCCTGGAACCTCACCGCTGCCAGCATGTTCTCCTGCCAAGGACAAGACATTACTTACTTGGATTATTACCAGAAGGTGAGGCGCTGCCGCGTTGCAGTTTTCCGAGTGAGGGAAATGAAATCTCTGAGGAAACGGTCTTATAATAATATAATAATAATATCCTTATTTACTACAAGTACATGTACATGGTATACAGGCCTAGCTGACATCAATGATATACTGCTATACAGAAAGCCCCTTGTATGCTGAGCATTTCGGGAAAATTAGGTCAATTTTGTCCCCGGATGCGACTCACACTAGTCGAGTAACACCCAGGTACCCATTTTAAACTGATGGATGAACAGGGACAGGAACAGTGGGTGCCTTATGGAAACACGTTCCAAATGCTTTCCAGCCGTACCGGAAGAGATTCGATCCCCGGACCTCTGAGTGTGAGTTGAGTGCGTTAGAGAGGTGAGGCTCTCCTGAGCAACTAAAGCGGGTTTTCCACTAAAACTGAAGTATGGTAATCTACTTGGGATGAAAGCCCACATTCTACTGAGACAGTAATGATACACGCTCCTAACTCTTTCTGTTCACACTGTCTCACTCTTCAGACATACCAGATGACCATCAAGGATCCCTACCAGCCGCTGCTCATGTCGAAGCCGAAGAAGAAGGACCTGCGTCGTGGCCAGGGCAACATCTACCTCATCCCTGAGCTGTGTGTGGCCACGGGACTCTCCGGAGGACATGCGACACGACTACAACCTCATGAAGGATTTCGCCAGCTGGACGCGCATGCCGCCAGACAAAAGGGTGACGGCGCTCGGGAAATTTAACACAAAGCTCTTCGAGAACCA